CATTGCCAGCCAAGGCCATGCTCTCAGAGCTGGCACTCCCACAGTGGCTTACAGCCCCATGCTGACCTGGGCTCCAGGGCAGGAGAGACTTCCTCTTCCAGGAGACACTTGGCATCAGGCAAGGGGGCTGGGATTTCCCCCAGGTTCTTACACAAGTGAGGTAAACCAGTTCTGCATAAGCCCCCTGACTTCTCCCTGCCCCTCCTGGCTACCTGAACATTGAATCCCAAAACAGTTTGGGTTTGAAATGACTGCTAAAGACCATCCCATTCCACCCCCTGCCATGGGCAGGGACATCTTCCATTACACCAGTTTGCTCCAAGCCCCTTCCAATGTGGCTTTCAACACTTCCAGGGAACCAGGGGCAGCCACAGCTTCTCTGGGCACCCTGTGCCAGGGCCTCCCCACCCTCACAGGGAACAATTCATTCCCAATATCCCATCAAACCCTGCCCTCTGGCAGCGGGAAGCCATTCCCCCTTGCCTTATCACTTCATGCCCTTGTCCAAAGTCCCTCTCCAGTTTTCTTGGAGTTCCTTAAGGCACTGGAAGGAGCTTTGAGGTCTCCCCACAGCCTTCTCTGTTCCTGCTGCTCACACTGCTTGGGATGTGGCCCTGCAGACACTTGGCTGCCATTGCACAGTGCAGCTCATGTCCAATTTATCACCATCCAAATCCTCCTCCACAGGGATGCTCCCCAAGCATTCACAACTCAGGGGCACCATCTCCCATCTCTCGAGATAGGCACCTTTGCCACTGGAGTGCCAGTCTCACCTTCTGTCCCACCCAGGCTATTGACAGAAGATGATCTGAGAAAATGTGTTCCTGCTCTTCCTGCCTTCACCTGCCTCCACAGGCAGGCCCAGGACAGGACAATAACTTGAGCCCAGCTTTTGTGGTTGACCATGCTGACATCTTTGTCTTGGGCATGCTCCAGCCTTCCCCAAGCCACAAACTGGAAATTCCTACTTCCTGAGGGAAACAATTCTGGAGAAGCTGTGACTCCTGGTGAGTGTATATTTTGCCCTCTTCCTTCAGCACACCCCACCTCGAGGTTCAGTAAGTTCCCCTTGCATTTTCTCTTCCATTTTCAGGGCATTTTCTCCTTAGTCACTCAAGGTGAGCTGGGTTTTCATCACAACTGCCAGCCTGGTGACTCCTGGGAACACCAACCTTAGCTCCAAAGGCTTCCACAGCTACCTGAGAACACTTCTGTGAAAATAACTGCTTCAAAGTGTTGGGTGAGATATCTTTGTGGTGCCTTGATCACAGCTTTCCCTATTTCCCTCTTTTTTTGGTGTTTTCCCACAGGCCCAAACACAGCCAGAGCTCAGCTACAGCCCTGTTCAGCTGTGGGAGGAGCTGTGCTGTGGGCAGCAGCCAGCTCTGTGGCAAAGCCAAGCCTTCTCCCCCATAGCCCTGCCAGCTCTAACTTTATCCCAAAGTCCTTTGGATAAAGGACAAACCTTTCCTGTCCTTTCCTTAGGACACAACCAAAACTCCAGTGCAGCCTCATCTCAACCACAAACCACAGGGCACACGCATGACCTTGCAGTAATGAGGGAGATGTGAAAATAAACAATATTACTTTACCTTCCCTTGGCATTGTTCTTTCCCCAGGGTTCAGCTGTGTTTATACATCACCAGTGATCCGTGGTTGGGCAGAGGGTGTGTTAATTTGTGTTTCTTCATCATTCATGTAATTTTTAGCAGCAGCATCCTCTTTTGGAAAACACAACGGCCGGTGTTGCAACGCAACGGACTTGAGATGTGTGACAATAATTCAGGTCATTCCATGAAGATGTGCACTGCAGAGGGGTGGATGTCTGTGGGTAACTGGGACAAAGTCTGAGGGGCACTGACTTAGCTCTGTCCTTTCTGGTCAAGCTGCTCCTGCTCACATGAGCCAGAGCACGGAGCTCTTGCCTCGAAGGGCAACAAAAATTTCCAGCATTGTTAAAAATTGGCCTTTGCTGCTCAGTCTCAGCTGAGTCAGCCAGACATGGGCATTTGGGAATGGGACCACCCATGCACCCAGGCAGCCAGGTATGAGTCAGACAGGACCTGTAGAGGGAGGTGAGTGTACTTAGCAAGAGGCAGGATTCGCCATGTGGCTAAACATGCATTTTCTGACACAAAATTTGGCAAAGCAGATGTCTGATGGATGTTCAGGGGAGGAAATTGATTGCATCAGCTGTTCATCCCTCCTGTACTCCAAAACAAATGGCATTTTGCAGCTGGAGGCCACCTAGGACACTTTCCTTTTCCTTCCAAGGCATCCCATGGTGGGCTCTACTCCTCAGAAGGAACCACCTTGGAAAGCTGTTGCGTCCTTTGGAGAGCAGGGTCTGAGCCCTCAGCCCAGGTGGCCCAGAGGGCACAGCCCTGGCCTGCTGTGCTTCTGCCATGGGGTCCCTCCAAGGAAAGCTGTGTATTCAAAGAGTTTCTTCTCTGCAGGCTTGGCCACAGGAGTCACAGCTGTTGAAGGAGCATCCACAGGAAGGATGCACACAGGAGGGGAGTGGAATCATCCTGGAGAAAGGTAGGATTTGCTAGCACCAGAAGGAGAAGCACCTCTGCATGTGCCTAGTGATGTTCCAGATCACTTGTGGCTGGAGATCGGGAAATGCAGGAGGTTGCTGCAGTACAGGAGGTATTGCAATCCAAGCCTCTTCCTTCACCTCTGGATTTGCCTTGATGCCAACTGGGAGAGCAAGGGAAAGAGATGTGAAGTGAGCACCACCCATCCCATCAGCACATCACAGCCATGCCCTTGGCAGGCAGGGAAGGCATTGGGATGCAAGCAGAATGTGAGAAGGGAGAGACGAGTGGTGAGTTGTCCATGGAAAAAGGTCTGGGAACGAGGTGCAGAAGGCAAAGATAGTTTGGGCTCTTCCAGCAACTGTTCTGCTGTTATTTGAGTGGATCCTTTATGTTTTTCAAGCTCTCTTCTGCATCTTTCCCCTTCATCTGTCCTGTGGTAAAAGAATCTTTATCTGGGCAGTGCTGTAACTACTTGTGGAGTCAATATGCCCAAGCATTTCCACCAATATTTAGGTGCTCAGGGGTCTTTGTTGTTTCAGCTGCAACTTCAGTGTCTCAATAAGTCTGTTGGAAGAGGCATTTTGGAACAAATCAGCAAAAGGCTCTGGAAGAACCATGTGGGACAGTCTCCTGCAAGCCCTTATGCTTCTTCTTCCCATGGGTGGGGATGTTGCTAAGGCTGCATGAGTGAGGCAGGGATCAGTGAGACCTCCAGGAAGCTGGGGATGGATTTCAGTTATTTCTACCTGCCTTGGTGGAAAAAGACCTTGTAAGGCCACAGCTTGCTGGAGTAAATATGGATGGGAGATCTTTTAAAAGGAGGGGCTTGAGGTGTGAGAAAGTCAGTCCTCCTACAGCTGCAGTGTGTTTGGAGACACTCTGGTCACAGGAAATTCTGCTCTTCTGGGAAAGCAGAGGGTGAAGGGATGAGAAACAGGAGTCAGCCATGCTGAAGGATGTGCTACAGATGATGCTGAAATATCCAGTGTGGCCAGGAGTGCCTCTCAGCCACAAGCAGGGTGGGCTCCTGGTGCCACAGCTGAGGTGGTCATTGCCTGAGGGCCTCCACCTCCCTGGGTCACTCTGTAGAGCCAAATCCTTGGCCTGGCACTGGGCTCTCACCTGTACTGAAGCCACTCTGGGCACCACCACCACCTGCAGGTCGCTTTGCCCTGAGCCTGCCGGGAGAAGGGACAAGAGCCAACCCAGGTGCTTCCAGTCAGCCTCCAGCTGTGTGCAGAGTGAGGGCTGTAGGGGGAGAAGGACCTGTACAGGGGATCCAGGAGATCTTCCCTCCAAGGGACGCTCATGCTCTTGAAAGCAAGCCTGGGAGCTGGACCTCCTGGCTGGGCTTTTTGCCCTCTTCCTTCAGCACACCCCACCTCAAGGTTCAGTAGATTCCCCTTTGGTTTTTTCTTCCATTTTCAGGGTGTTTTCTCCTTAGTCACTCCAGGTGAGCTGGGTTTTCATCACAACTGCCAGCCTGGGGACTCCTGGGAACACCAACCTTAGCTCCAAAGGCTGCCACAGCTGTCTGGGAGCACCTCTGTGGAAATAACTGCTCCAAAGAGTTGGATGAGATACAGCTGTAGCTTCTGTGGGGTGGACATGGTGAGTGGACCAGCCCTAGCAGTGGTCCAGGGATGCTGTTTGGGCTCAAGGTCTGGCTGATGAGGTCCAGGGAATTCTCAGTTTGTGTGCATGTGCCAAAGGCTGTGGCTGGTCATGTACCTGCCAGCAAAGATGGGGACATGAAGGCTGGGACAGCACCCCAAGGGCTGCCCTTCATAGACCAAGCCATGCCCTCTGGCCCCAGGGGACAGGCCAGGAGTGATACAATGGGATGGAGAAGCTTTGCAGAGGAAGTGGGAGGAGGCTGACTGCTAATCTCAGCATTTTTTCCCAGCTTCATCCCAAAAATTTACCAAAAGTGCAGCGTGATGCTTCCTTCTGTCTGCAGGGCACTTATGGAGCTGTCTGGTCACTGCTGTTGGCTTTTTTTTTTTTTTTTTTGCCAGATCATGTGTAAGACTCATTTACTGCCTTTCAACCCCACTGCCATTGCCAGGAGCACACAAGGGAGCCGGCAGGCACTCGGTGCTGCGAGCCAAGGGGCAACGGGCACCTCAGCAGCAGTTACTGGCAAACACACAAAACTCGGCTCTGGATCCAGCAGGGACTTTCTGAGATTAGTTCTGGGCAAGGCAGGGGGTGGGCAGCACAAAGAAAATCGCCTCTCCCGCCGCGTTTCAGCCCGCAGTAGAATTCAAATGTCACAACTTGGGAATTTTCCATCTGAAGCCCCTTGTAAAATGCAAAGCGCTTTGCTCCGACTCCCGCCTGCGGAAGGGTTCAGTGCCAAAGTGAAAGGCTTCCTAAAAATGGGCTGATCCAGGGAGGGGGGCGATTTAGGAGCTATTGAGAAACAAGGAAGGACAAACAGTGTTAGGTCATTGCTTCTGCAAACACAGCCAAGGCTGTTCCTCTATAAAAGGGGCAGAAAGCGGTTCCAGAGCCATCACAGACTCGGAGGGGACGGTCTGTGACCAAGGCTGCTGCACCCCTCCCACGGCACCCGACCCCTGCTCAAGCATGAAACTCGCACTCTTCACTGTGCTATCCCTTGGGATAGTGGGTAAGTGTCTGCTGAAAGCAAACTTTGGGGGAAGGAAGTCAAAAGCTCTGTGTCCCCCAGGCAAGGCTGTTTCGGAGCTGCGGCGTACACCAGAGCAGGCAGCTGTAAAGGAAAAGCTGGGGCACAAGCAGTGCTTGCTTTGGCAGCCGTGGATCTGTCAAGGAGGATGGTGTTTTGGTGTTACTGACAGCTTTGTGGGATGGAGGGAGGGTTGCAGCTGCCCACACTGCTCATGCCCACCCTGCAAGGAGGAGGGATGCTTGGGACAGGCTCCACACTCTGGCTGTCATGGGGCGAAGGGAAAAATCATCCTCTGTCCAGTGCTGTGCTGGGAGAGGAGTATGGGCTCAGCCAGGAGGGAGAAATTATTGCAAGACCTGCCTGTCAAGCTTGTGCATGTGTTTGGTTAAACTTGAGGGCAGTGACAATAAAATAGAGCTTAAATAATGAAAGATGTTGTGTGCTTCCCCCTCTGCTCCTGCACTGCTCTGTCCTGCTGCTGCAGCTGCACTTTGCTCAGGCTCCTGCCTGTTTTATGCCAAGTTTATGCTGCTGCAGGGCTGGCTCTGCTTGGAGCAATTCTTTCCTCTTTCTCTGCTCACAGCTCTGGCTGGCAATAAGCAGGTAGCTGTGGCAAGGAGACTGCTGGCTGCACCTGGCATGGGGACTGATGCCTGGACAGGGAAAGAGAGATCACCTTCCTGGAGTAGGCAGCAAGTCTCTTCTGATCCCCCTTAAAGTGTGGTGCTGATTAATGTCCTCTGTTAGGAAGTGCTCCCTGTGCCTCTGGCATCAGGAAGTCCTTCAGCACCTCTGCTGAATATTAGCATGCAAAGATGGTTTTTAATGGTTCCTCCTCTTCCTCCCCTGCACAGAAAGAGACAAGAAGTCACCCAAAAGGTCTGTGGCAGTGGCCAGGGCACTCAGGCTGCCATTGCCTTCCCAGTGTCACCAGTACAGCTGGGTTTGACTCCCTTGGGAGGTCCCCACCCAGCCTCTGCCCCTGGCAGGATGCTTGCCAGCATTAGGTGACCATGGCTTTGTGCAGCCAAGACTTGAAAATTGTATGATGAACTTGAAAAACATATGAAAAAGGAGGTGGTGGCCACTGGAATTGAGGCTAAGGTTTCTCCCTGTGGCCAAATTCAGCATCTCCACTGGGAGGCTCAGGAATCAGGTAAAGAGAGGCTATTTCTGAGATGAAGGAGAAAATGGAAATGACCCAGGTTAATCTGGAGGTGTTTGGAGGAAATGTGCCATCGAGGTTTGGAGGGAGAGCGGAGTGCAAGCGGCCTCTTGGTCTGCACAGCCCTGCCCAGAAGGGGCAGAGTGCAGGTGAGGTGACAGCACAGGCTGGCCACATCCCTGAACTGCAAGTTTCCAGCATTCCTGGCTTCAGGTTTCTGGAGGGGACATGAATCTGCATCCACTGGAGGCTTTTGCTTTGTTCTGCTCCCCCAGAGCAGCCATTCAACTGCTTTTGCTGCTTGGGGCACTCATGGAGGGACTGTGGTGGTGCTGTGGCATCTCTCAGGGGTGCAGTGGAGCAGGTGAGACAGAGGGACAGTTCAATAGATCAGATCATTCAGCTGCCAAGGAGGTGAGGGTGGCAGTGCACTGCACACAGCCTGGCCAGCTCAGATCTGCTCACCCTCTGGGGTTATTGGCACAGGCTCTGCTTCAGTGCTCCAACTTTTCTCTCTGTTTTTGCAAAGGCTTGAGCTTGATTTCTATTGAAGTGTGTGGATTTGTTCTCCTAATCCTGTGCATGTTGCTGTGAGTCCAGGCTGCTTGAATCTCAATAGTCCAGGGACAGGAATGATCATCCCAGATGTTCCTGATGGTGCACACATCAGGCAAGAAAGAAAGAAAGGACCTTCCTGTGTGGCTTGGGAGATCCTGCACGTGGATCATCCAAGGCCATGACCACAGAGAAGCAGGGAACCATTGACCTTGTGCTCACAGAGATGCTGTTCCTCTCCAGTCAGTGCCTTTCTACCTCTCTGAGACTATTTATTTCTGCTTCTTTCTACAGCTCTGTGTTTTGCTGCCCCCCAAAAGCCAAGTGTCAGGTGGTGCACAATTTCCTCAGCAGAAGAGAAAAAATGCAATAGCCTGAAGGACCAGATGCAACAGGAGAACTTTGCTTTCAGCTGCCTGCAGAAAGCATCCTACCTCGACTGCATAAAAGCCATTTCGGTGAGTGGGCAGCAAATTCCTCTGCTGGGATGTTTCAGCAGCCTGTTACACCTGGAGATGGAGTTTCCTTTCTGGTTGTTACCTGTGATCCTCCTGTTATACACAAAGATCCAGGAGAGACTCTGGGAAGTGCTTTTCCTGCTCTTTGTTAATTGAGGAAATCTCTTTGTTGTTTAGAACAGCGAAGCAGATGCCATTAGCTTGGATGGAGGTCAAGTTTTTGAGGCAGGCCTTGCTCCTTACAAGCTGAAGCCCATTGCTGCTGAGGTCTATGAACACAGTGAAGGTACATTTCCATGCCATTTTTTAAAGCCAAATATTGGCAACAAACTGAGACTGCAGAGACTCCTTTCCATGCAGAGTTCCCACTTATTTTGGTTGGGGGTCCAAGATATTGCCCCTGGTTTCCAGCTCCCAGAGGGGAAGGCATGGGGGGGCAGTTCAGCAAAATGTGAATCATCACCCATGGTCACAGGGCCCAGTGCTCCATTTCTTGTCATTTGCTGCAGTGCAGGTCTCTGATCCCATGAGCAGAAATCATGGTCCTCCTGAAGCGTGGCATAAAAATGGTGCTGGTCTCAGAGATCTTCTGCTTTCAGTGGCCTTGAACTCTGTGGGTAAAGCACAGAGCTGGGAGGCAGAGATGAGTTCTTTGATTTCCTGTGCAATCATCAAGATAAGGAAAAAAAAATATTGGGGAGGCAACAGCATTACTTGTGGTTGGGAGGGACGCCCAGTTGAGATCACTGAGACAAGAAATGCAGGCAATTCCCAGGAAAAAAGTGTTCAATAAATTAGCTGATTGTTTAGAAGTGCAGCACTCTGTTCCCTGAAACTGGGGGTTTAGCAGGATTTGAAATGTCCCTAAGTCCTCTTTTCCCATTGCTCCATTCCTTTTTCCTGCACTGCAGGCTCCACTACCAGCTACTACGCCGTGGCCGTTGTGAAGAAAGGAACGGGCTTCTCCATAGATGAGCTGCAGGGCAAGACCTCCTGCCACACAGGGCTGGGCAGGTCAGCAGGCTGGGTCATCCCCATTGGGACCCTCATCCACCGCGGGGCCATCGAGTGGGACGGCAAAGACTCGGGCTCCATTGAGCAAGGTGAGCCAATATAGCTGGACAGGACGTGCCTGGGCTTGTTTGGCTCCTGCTGCTTGACCAAAAGGTGGCAGCTGTGGTGTTTTCACTCCAGAGGCACCTTTGGCTGGCTGGATGCTGAAGCTGGGTGCATGGAGGCAAGTCCAGGCTTGCAGGAGCTCAGGTTTACCTCTGGCAGAGAAGCTTTAAGGTGATGGTGAATGAAAGGAGTCGGTTCTGATGCAGGGTTTCCATCCAGAGCTTTATTCTGGCCCACAGGCCTCTGAATGCAGCAACAGCTCCAACAGAACTCTCAGACCACATGGTTGCTGTTCCTTTTAACCCCAGGGAGAGGAGAAGGGAAGGAACATGAGGGACCAGCAACCAGATGGTGGGGGGAAGTCTCAAGGGACAGAGGACACCTGGATGGCCCAATGTCTCCTCAGGAGTGGGGCATCTTTTGAATTCTGCCAATCACTGGACGCCCTTCTGGAATGCCAGGATTGACAGAGAGCACTCAGCAGGGGTCAGGGTATGGAAAGGAGGGATGATTGACACACCTGGCAGGGAATTATCAGGGAGGAACAGGAACCTGGGGTATCTGAGGCAAACCACGACATCACACCGCAATGTCTGGTGTCACGGTGAAAGGGGTGACGCCAGGTGTCAGGGTGGGAGTTCAGCCAGGGCTGGTGTCATGGTGAAAGGGGTGACACCAGGTGTCAGGGTGAGACTGGGATGGGAGCTCAGCCAGGGCTGGTGTCACGGTGACAGGGGTGTTGCCCAATCTTCTGTGGGGGTCTGGAGGTAGCTCGCAGGGCACTGACATTTCTTGTGGGTCCTCTCCCTTCCCTGTTCTCCTAAAAGTGGATTTTTGACCAACTGTTGTTTTCTTCTCACCCGTAGCTGTGGCCAATTTCTTCTCTGCCAGCTGTGTCCCTGGTGCCACCACTGAAGCCAAACTGTACCGTCAGTGCAAGGGGGATGCCAAGACCAAAATGTCCCGCACGGGACCTTATTCTGGATATTCTGGAGCTTTTCAGTGAGTGACAGTTATTTTTCCTTTGGGGAAACATTCTAGCCCTGACATAGGCAAGTTTTTGTTGTACCAAGGAGGGCTGTGTTGGAATCAAGGGTCCTGAGAAGACTGAATTGCTTCTCTGCCATTACAATTTTTTCCCTTCCAGCACAGTTTTTTTGGCGATGACCACTGCTCTATGCCTGCAGTTTATGCCAAAAATAATTTGTTGAAACAGGAGATAGGGAGTCACAATGCCAGTTTTTCTAACTTCTCTTCTGTTCCTCCCACCTGCAGCTGTCTGAAAGATGGCAAAGGAGACGTGGCTTTTGTGAAACACACAACTGTTCAAGGTACACCTGCAAGATCCCTCATTTCTCCTCTTTCTGGCCCCACCTCTCTCTGCCACTCCATCCTGCAATTTGTCTACACTGTGCAGTTTTCATTCCTCTCCAGGCTCAAATGCTTCTTTCATCTTTTGAAAAAAGTTTTGCACATTGTGAACTGACTCATCCTTGTTAATGAGAAATGGGATTATGGTGAATCCATTTTTTCTTCTCTGAGGTTCTTCTTTGTAGCTGGAATACCTGCTTGGTGCCAAATCTCAGAGCCAGCTGTAGTGTGAGCAGCTGAGCAGGTCTCCCATCCCTCTGGAAGGGATTTTGGAGGGAATTCAGCCCACACCAAGAGTTCACTAAGTCTGTGGAGACTAAGGGTGGCCTGGCACACCCAGGACTGCAGTGAGCTCAGTAGAGGGTCACCAAGGTGGTCATGGGGCAGGGATAACTGTCCTGCAAGTAGGTGATCTGTGGGATGGGCTTGATCAGCCTGGGGACCCGATACAAGGGGAATTATTTTCCCCTTGAGGACAGTGAGGTAGTGGGACAGATTGTCCAGGTTGTCCAGGACAGCTGTGCACTCTCCATCATTGAAGGATTTAATGATCTACCTGGAACATCCTGCTCTGTCCCTGCCTTCACCAGGGATCTTCAAAAGTCCCTTCACTCTTGATTTCTCATGTAACCTTGTGATCTCAGTCCTGGGCTTTGTCTGCAGCCTTGACATTAGTCACCTACTGGCCTTCACTGACCATGTGCAGCTCCTGACCTGCTCAATCCATTTGTATGGGATTTGTAAAACTATTTGTACTCCTTTGTGCAGAAATCCTTGTACTGTTGGGTTAGTTATGGCAGAGGCTGGGGTGATCTCTCTTCCAAAGGCATTGCTTTCATATGCCCAAGATGACCCCATTGCAAGGGGGGTGCCTGCAAGCTGTCTTCTGCTAAGAAATTACCCCAGAGCTTCAGCAGAAATAAATTAATTACAAATCTTCCCAAACTCACCTTTCTGTCTATTTTCATGCAACTCATGGTTCCTCCCTTCCTTCAGAAAATGCCCCAGCAGAGAAGGATGAGTACGAGCTGCTGTGCCTGGATGGCACCCGCCAGCCCGTGGACAACTACAAGGCCTGTCACTGGGCCAGGGTTCCTGCTCATGCTGTTGTGGCTCGAGATGACAGCAAGGTCAATGACATCTGGAACTTCCTCTCCAAAGCACAGGTACCACCAATGTCTCCTTTCCTTCCTCTAACATCCCCTGTCCTCTGGTTTTGGTTGCTTTCTCCAGCTTTCCAAGAGTTTTGGTGTGGTTGTTTGCTGATTATTTTTTCCCTTGTGGCAGGAAAAATTTGGTGTGGGCACAACCAGCACCTTCCACCTCTTTGGGCCACCTGGCAAGAAGGACCCAGCCCTCAAAGACTTGCTTTTCAAAGACTCTGCAGTACAGCTGAAGCAAATCCCATCACTGATGGATTCTCAGCTCTACCTGGGCTTTGAGTATTACAGTGCTGTCCAGAGCCTCCAGCAAGGTAGGCAGGACATCAAACACCAGTGTCAGGTCAGCATGGGCTGTGTGGAACAGTTGGCATTGGCAAATAGAACCAGGCAAAAAGAACATGATTTTTTCAGACACAGACTCTATTATCTGCAAAATATTTTGTTTCAAATCACAGAATCTTCACAAACTTCACTTACATCAATAATAGAATTTGTTGTATCCAAACCCAAATCACCACACAGACAAATATGGAAAATCTACACAAAATCCACATCAGTTATTCAGCTGGTGGTAGAGAATTGGGCATGGTCAAACTGGTGTTTAGAAAAACCATTTCTGGGCTGTAAAAAGAAGGAACATCCCAGGACACCAGCTTGAGACACTTGAGGTAAATAATGTCCTTGATTTCCATCTAAATTCATCAAGCATTTTGTGATAGCTTTCTGAGAGTCAAACATCCCACAAAGGATCTCTGAAACCCACTTAGAATTCATAGTACAATTTAAAGTACTTCACTTCTGTTAAGTGATATTTATGGAAGGAGGTGAATGGATTTCACACAGCATCAAATCAGATTATTCAAGTGCTGTTCTACAGAAACATAACTAGGTTTCCAGTTCAGTGTGGTCTTAGTCTCATGGCTGTCTGGGCTGTGAGGAGTGCAGAAATTTGGGACATATTTCAGGCAGCAATTCCAATTATATTATCACACAGATATTTAGTGTTTGTGCAGTTCTAGCTAACAGAAATCTACCTGAATGGCTTGTGTTATGCAGCAATTCACCTTTCTGACCTGTAAGTTGATTTTTGAGCCTTCTTCAGCTCAAGAACCACCTTTTCTATTCTTGCCAGCCCAGGGCTTAATTAACAAGAACTCCTTGCCCTGAGCAGCAGCAGGTTGGTGTGTACAGGTGGTTTCTGGATAAGTCCCTCACACCAGGATGTGATGGTGTTCACAAGGGTTCCATGATAAGGGAAGAGATGCAAATCCTGACTCCATGTTTCAGAAGGCTGATTTATTATTTTATGATATATATTATATTAAAAGAAAATGCTATATTAAAACTATACTGAAAGAATAGAAGAAAGGAATTCATCAGAAGGCTAGCAAGGAAAGGAAAGGAATCATAATAAAATCACAGCCTTGACACAGATGGCTGTCATTGGTCATCAAGTAAAAACAATTTCACATGCTGGGTAAACAATTCTCCAAATCACATTCCAAAGCAGCAAAACATGGGGAAGCTGAAGCTTCCCAGCTTCTCAGGAGAAAAGATCCTAATGAAAGGATATTTCAGGAAATAAGTCAGTGCCACCAGGAGGTGGCTGTGCAGGGCTCATCCCTGCTTTCCCTGTTTTCCCTTTGCAGATCGCCTGAGCCCCAGCCGCAGGGACAACAAGATCCAGTGGTGTGCCATTGGCAGGGATGAGAAGAAGAAATGTGATGTCTGGAGCGTGATGAGCAATGGGGATGTGGAGTGTGTTGTGGCAGAGGACACCAAGGAATGCATCACAAAGATCATGGTACAGCTTTTTTCCCCTTCTCACTGTGAACTTCTTTTGCCATCTGAGCTCTGGAAAGCGCTGGCCTGGGGATGTGCAGCTTTTCATTTCTGCACCTTTCCATTTCAGAAAGGTGAAGCAGATGCCATCAGCTTAGATGGAGGCTTTGTCTACACTGCTGGCATGTGTGGCTTGGTGCCAGTGATGGCAGAGAGCTATGAGGGTAAGCACAGCTCTGTCTCAGGGCGGGGAATGGGCTGGTGCCAAAGTGCTGGTTCTATTCTGGAATCTTACAAAGCAGCTGCAGAGCTGCATCCTGCAGAAATCACAGAATATCCTGGGTTGGAAGGGACCCACTAGGATCATCAGTCCAGCTCATGGCCCTGCACAGACACCCTGACAATCCCAGCCTGTGCCTGGGAGCATTGTCCAAAGGCTCCTGGAGCTCTGGCAGCCCTGGGGCCATGCCCATTCCCTGGGGAAGCTGCTCAGTGTCCCACCACCCCAATCCTCCGGGGGAGGAACCTTTCCCTGATACCCAGCCTAATACATGGTGCTCTGAGGCAACTCTGCTCACCATTGCAGGCCTTGTCTTTCCATGAAAGCAGAGCAGGCATGGATAGTCAGGAACTCTGTTTTAATTAGGATACCCTAGTCCTTTAGCACCAGCCTTGGTAAAACTGCTTGTTTTAGCTCAGAGGAGCAGCTGGAGGCTGTGCTTTGTTCTGCTGATTCATAAGATGTTACTTGAAATGGTCACTTTTACAACAGAGTTTCTCCAGAAATTAGTGAACTTGATTCTTCTTTTGGGTTTGAGGTGTATTTAACTTAACATCTTCTTCTTCTTCCCTCCCACAGACAATCACTGTGAATCACAAGAAGAACCAGGTAATTCCTGCCAACAGAAGGACAGAAAACAGTCTAGAGGGATATAAGTAGAAAAGTAGATATGAGTCATGAGTGGAGAATAAATAGTCAGTCTCCACCCAAAGAGTGTCCAGTGTAGATATCACAATTTTGGGATATAGGTTTAGCAGTTGGAGGGATAATTAGGGGCTGCAATAAGATCAAGGTGAAACATTTTGTAGTGGCAGAGATTGGTGTGGTCACGCTATAACAGTGTCAGGGCTGTGAACAGAGGAAGAGGGGCTGGGCTGCAGCAATTGGGAAATTGTTCTTTCTAGAAATGGAAAGGAGAGAGGAGGGGAGGATTTTGTTCTTTGCTAAGGAGAGAATAAGAACTCAGGAGTGGATACAAAATCCTCACATGTGCATGTGCTTTGCCTTCTCATAGGCTTCTCATATGCCCAGGTATCAGAGCTTTGGAGGGCAGGGAAATGTCAGGGATAATAATTTCCCAGGAGTGTGGTGGAAGTAGATGCATCACATCTACAAACTCTTCCATTGTTGCTGCCTGGCCAAGTATTTATAAGCACAAAGTAATTCTGTGCTGTTCATAGGTGCCCTTTCCCAAGTGAAGCCAGTGCTCTCTCCTAAGGGATCACAGTGGGATCCTTGGGTCAGGCCTCAATTCTTCTCTATTTTATCTTCTGAAAGCAACCTACTTTGCTGTGGCTGTTGTGAAGAAGTCTGACAAGGACATCAGCTGGAACAACCTGCAGGGTAAGAAGTCGTGCCACACCGCCGTGGGGAGAACTGCTGGCTGGAACATCCCCATGGGCCTGATCCACAACAGGACAGGCAACTGCAACTTTGGTGAGTGCAGCTTGGAATCCATCTCTTTGAGCTGGGAATCTGTTCACAAAAAAATCTTTTACCATCCTTCATCGGGTTTTCAAAGTTTCTTGTGCCTCAAAGGTTCCCTCCTGGAGGGAGGAAATTGAGATGCTGTTATTTAAGGTTTCACTGAGCAAAATTTTAGGTGTTTGGCATCTGTTTCAGAGTAAGATATGGCACATCAGCTGCTTTGGGGGTCTTTGCTTTATTTTTCACATCTCTCCCCTTCCTTTTGCAGCAGCCCAAGAGGTGTTCCCAAAAAGGGAATGTGGGCTGCCCACAAGGCCTGGTGCTTGTGCAAGGTGTGGAGTGGGGATGAAGGATGAAACTCAAAGGGAGGGGAAGGGCTGAGAACAAGGGACAGAGGCTGATCTTTAAGAAACTTAATCTGACTGCCTAAGACTTCACAGAGAATTATGGTCTGACAAAAATAATTTGGAAACATTATCAATGTTAACAACCAAGACAAAGTAAGCATATAATTATTAAAAGGAAGTCTCTAACTACATGAAGATATTAGTGTTAGTAAGTTTTATTCTTGGCTTCTCTATCCTCCTGCCTTCCTTTCCCACTGTCCCTTCCACCCCAAGAGCTCTGACACTGCTGCCAAATGCACCTCTGCTGGCCCATAGAGGCTGTGGAGGCTCAGGCTGGCTCTGTGTGAGCTGGGAATAGTTTGCAGGGAAAACATTCCCCTTTTTATGCCAAGACAGTGCCTATTGCACTTGAGCCTTAGGCTCTGCTTCATCACAGAATGGATGGTGGAAAGGGACCCTAAAGCCCATCCCATTCCACCCCTGCCATGGGCAGGGACACCTTCCACTATCCCAGGCTGCTCCAAGCCCTGTCCAACCTGGCCTTGGACACTCCCAGGGATCCAAGGGCAGCCACAGCTTCTCTGGGCAACAATAACAATAATTATCAACAATAACAATAATTATCAATAATAACAGGACCCAAGTTCCATAGTCAGAGCTGGATGCACGTGATGTGCTGCCCACTAAGTCATGCTCCTTCTCCCACCCCATTTCCACCTCCCCACTGAGCGAGAACCTGTTATTACAATAAAACCTAACTTCTCAGGGCAGGAAAAGTGAATTTCTCCTATCCCTGCCTCCAGATGAATACTTCAGCCAGGGCTGTGCTCCCGGGTCTCCTCCCAGCTCCCGTCTCTGCCAGCTGTGCAAGGGCTCAGGGGGAGTCCCTCCGGAGAAGTGCGTTGCCAGCAGCCACGAGCAGTACTACGGATACACCGGAGCTTTAAGGTATGTGCTGGGGACAGCCAGGCTGCCTCAGGGCCCTGGGGCTGCTCACAGAGGACAGGCCACAGCTGAAGCACAGCCTCATGTCCACACTAACTCTTTTTCTCCATTATACCACTGAAAGGGCATGTCTCTGTAATTCTATACATGCTTTTTCTTTGCTTTCTGAAAATTGATGTGAAATATCCTCATTCTGTAGGACTCATGTCCTGGTGCCTCCAGGCAAACCCAGAGAGGCACAAGCCCGCCCACAATGGCCGAAGTGCTCCTCTCTTAACATAAATAAGGAGTGTAAAGGCTGTGTTTCAGATGTATTTAAAATATTTGTGGCAGGGCTTCTAGACCTGGATGTCCTTGGAGATTAATTGTACAGAATAAGACTCAAGTCTAAGTCAAATCTATGGGAAAGGGACAGGATTCAAGCATTTACATCACTGGCCTCTTTTTCTACTTCCCAGGTGTCTGGTTGAGCAGGGGGATGTGGCCTTTATCAAGCATTCCATCGTTGAGGAGAACACTGATGGTACGTGGTCAGGGCTGCCTTCCCCATCTGCATGATTGCCTAAGTGGTGTTGAGGCTGATGTTGTCCTGCTATGCAAGCTCTCTGAATCTCCAAACCCATTCTCTTTATAGGCAAGAACACAGAAAGCTGGGCCAAAGATCTGAAAATGGACCAATTTGAGTTGCTGTGCACTGATGGGCAGCGGGCAAATGTCATGGATTACAGAAGATGCAACCTGGCCAAAGTCCCTACCCACGCTGTGATGGCACGTCCTGAGAAAGCACGCCAAGTCCGTGAGATGCTGGAGAACCAAGAGGTTTGTAGTTCTGAGAGTAGAAGAAATATTGTGGGGTTGCTCTGATTGTCCCCAAGTCAGTAAGGTGGAAGATTTTACCTCACTGCTGTGGGGTGACAGCCTTGTCCCTTGGCCTCCCCCTTCCTCCATCCCTTCCCAAGTGCCCTTTCCCCTCTGCCACCTTAGCAAACACACCTTTAGGTAGCACTGGGATTGCAGTTGTTGCTGCTGTTTCACTGTGCTTGTGTGACATGAGTTTATCACCTCCTTTCCCGTCTCTGCTCCTGCTGGGATGTTTCAGAAACTCCTTTGTGGTGCCTGGTCTGTGCCACAGCTGGGTCAGGTTCAGCCCCAACATCAGGCTCCCTGCACACACACAGCTGACCAGAACCAGGCTGAACCATCTCTGTTTCTTCCTGCAAACATTAATATTGGCTCCACCATCAGGGTCTGCTCTTTTGCTTCTACTCATGGTTAAGTTGCAGGACCTGCTGGCAGCATCTCTGCACACAGGGACATGTTAAAATGGGGCAAGAAATGTGCCTACCAGTGAGCAATCCCTCCTCTAGGCATACAGACAGAAGGTTCAATTCTAAACTTCCAGAGCCTGGCTTGAGGCTTCCCAGACTGATGGTGAAAAACCAGGAAGAAGAAGTAGGCCAGCTTTCTACTTCTCTCCTCTTTGTGCCTTTATTTCAGAGGCTGTTTGGACCAAAAGGAACCAGGAGAGACGATTTCAATATGTTTGCATACGAATCCAAGGATCTTCTGTTTAAAGACCGGACAAAGTGCCTGATCAGTCTCCGTGATGGAATCTCGTACAAGGAATTCCTTGGAGATAAATACTATGCTTCACTTGCCAGCCTCAACACCTGCAATCCATCAGGTAACTGGAACAGCCCCAGAGGAAGTCCTGAATTGCAGTTCTTACCTTGCAGGCATGAGCAGTTTCCTCTGGAACTGTGTTTTCAATGCCTTTAAAGGAAGAAAATGTCAATATTCTTTTCTCAAAGTTCATTGGGTGAACTGAGAACAGATTTAAAATCTGCTGCTCTGGCAGCAATGTGAATAAAAGACTTTTCCTCACCTTTAGGAAACAGAGACTTTGAGAAACAGCACAGAGATCCTCCCAGAGCCAGCAGTGTGGGATTTGTGGTTAAAGCTCTTTTTTTGTGGCACACTGTGGATTTTCCATGGTGTGACACTGTTGGCATGGCTGGGTGTGTGCTGGTGGGATGGGAATGTTTAAAAGCAGGATCTGAACTTCTCCCTGTCCTTTCCCTTTCCAGATCTTCTCCAGGTGTGCACCTTCCTTGCAGACAAGTAGTGAGATGGGAAGGATCCTCGAGGTGGGGGAGAAAACCTCAAGCCATGACTCCTCTTGTGCCCTCAGCAGCAAACACTGACCCACTTCACTGCTTTCTCTGCCCTCCCTCATCACTCTGAAAGTAGCTCTTTGACACTTTACAATTCTCTGCTGCCAGCACAGCAAAAAATAAAATTTAAAATCTAAACAAGTGTCCTGAGATTTTTTTCCAAATGGTCCTTAAACCCATTCCTTCCTCAGTGTCTCTGACTGTAGGACAGTGTCAGACACCAGCATGGCTCTTGTCACTTACTGCTGCCTTTTAGGGAAATTTCTTGCACCATTTGCTGAAGCAAAATGGATTGAATATATCCTGGAGCCTAATTAACAGATGCTTTGTACTCTCTGTGCTTTTGCTTTACACAGATTATCCCATTGTCCCGCTGGCAGGTGAGGGTTCCCCAGTGTGGCTAGGACACAGGAAGAGGGAGAATGTTTGTGTCAGGGAAGATGAAGGAGGAATAAAACCCACTCCAAACCAAAATAATACAGTGGGAGTAAGATGGAAGGTGTGAACAGAAGCTGGTGTGTCTCAGATCTCAGCTGGCTGAGTCTGAGTTCCTCCCAGCAGGCAGGATTTGTATTGATGGGGAGAGTCCAATCAATCTCTTTTACTTTCTGGAAAAATCTAGGGTTTGCTCAGGAACTTATTTGTTTTAGCAGCACGTCTGATTTTGTGCTGCTAACCTGAAAACAAACATGTAGTTTGTTTTGCCTCATTCTGAACCACTTTAAAATAAAAAGGCGAGGCAAAAAGGGCTGCTGAAACTCTCTGCTCCAGAGGAACAGCCAGGGTGTCCCAATCCTGGAACAGCCTGGGCTCATCCAGGGTGTCCCAATTCTGCTGTCAAGGCAAGTGTGGAGGAGCTGCTGACAGCACAGAGCTCCTGGCTTTGAGGGAATGAATATTTTAATGATTTTTGGATGCATATGCTAAGTGTGGTGAGAAGTCCAGCAGCCTGGCTGAAAATCCCCCTGGATGGCAGAAATGCAGAGTGTGACAGGAAAGGATGAAATGTAGTCACTCAGTTTATGTAGGATGAATACACTGGACAGGTGGTTTTTTTAACCCATTCTTCAAAATTAGCAAAGAAAGAATAAGTGCCTCTAACAGGTTGTTTCTATGACTCAGTTAGAGAACTTTCCCAAAAAAAGCTGCACCATCTGCATTTCATGTCAGGTGTAAGCTCTTGTCCCATAGGTAGAAGGCATTAAAGGATAAAAGGAACCTCACTGGAGGGTCACTCAAGCTGGAGGGACCTCTGGGGATCTCCTGTCCCATCTCCTGCTCAAGGACAGTGTGAAAAATGCCAATCATTTGTTTTTAGAATTTTAAAAGTTAAATAGTAATAAATTTGTTATAAAAATAGTAATATAATTAGAGTAATAAAAATTTGGACAATTGGGATTAGGACAATATGAGACAATAGAAACAAAGAGTTACAGACAGTCTGGGTGCCTCTTTCTGGGCAAAATAAGCCCAATAAAGGACACATTAACAGAGGATTAACCCTAAAAAACAATAACCTGTTGCTTATTCATACACCTCATACATGATGCATAAATTCCACTCAAACACAGGATTCTGTCTGGTCAGTGCCAGCTTCTTCCTCTGAATCTTGACAGCATCTTCAGGGCTGAATGAGGCAGGAAGAACTCGGTAAGAGAGCAATAAATTCTTTTTCTCTGAAAGATTTAGGTGTCCTTTGGCTGCTACCTCACTGTGAGTCTTAAAAAAAATATCCTACATAGCATAGTTTCTATTTTAATATTATGTTATAACCTAAAACTATATTTAACACACTACTTAAGAAAATTAATACAGCATAACTTTCTAACACAACACATATAATATTCATTTTAATATTTGCAAAAAGCCAATCATAAAATATGCATTTTTCACACTGTCCCTCTGTGCTGGGACCTGTGAGACACCTCCAGTTCTGGCCCCAGCAATTCAGGAAGGACATGGAGGGGCTGGAGCGTGTCCAGAGAAGGGAACAGAGCTGGGGAAGGGAATGGAGCACCAGGAGAGGCTGAGGGAGCTGGAAAGGGGCTCAGCCTGGAGCAAAGGAGGCTCAGGAGGGACCTTGTGGCTCTGCACAACTCCTGACAGGAGGGGACAGCTGAGGGGTCAGGCTGTGCTCCCAGGGAACAGGGACAGGATGAGAGGGAACAGCCTCAAGTTGTGCCAGGGGGGGTTTAGGTTGGACATTGGAAAATTTCTTTGCAGAATGAGCTGTCCAGCCCTGCCACATCTGCCCGGGATTTAAAACCCCTGTGTATGTGGCACTTCGGGGTCAGAGAGCCTTTGCACCCTAAACCACTCCATGTTTCTCCAGGCTCCTGAGAGGAGAACTACAGCTCCCATGAGACCCCGCGCCCGCCCTTCCCGGCGTGCGGCGGGGCCGGAGGCGGAAGCGCGGCGTGGCCACGAGTGCGGGCCATGGCGGGCGGGCTGGAGCCGCACCTGGCGGCGCTGCGGCGGGAGCTGGGCGGCCCCGCTGTGCTCTCCGTGCTCGTCGCGCTCATCGCCGTCGCCATCACCTTCCGTGAGTTGCAGGAACCTCCCTTTCCCCCCGCCCCGCGGGCTGCTGAGGGCGCGGCGGTGCCGGCAGCGGCGGGTTCGGGTGTCCCCTCATCCTCCTCATCCTCCTCTGCTCCTCTCTCCCGCAGTGCTCTGGCGGTTCGTGCAGGGCAGGAAGAGCAGCCGCAAGGCCGTGCTGCTGCTGGGCCTCTGCGACGCGGGGAAGACGCTGCTTTTCGCGAGGGTGAGCGGGGAGCCCTGGTGAAGGAGTTCCCTTTAGTTCGGTTTTTAGTCTTTTAATGAAAAGTCGGGGTTTATGGGTGTAAGGAGGGATGGAGAGCGAGTTTTGGCCACCGCGAAGTGTCCAAAGAAATTTGTCATGGTAAAAGGTTTAGGGATACTTGACCTCACGGCATTGTGCAGCTCCAGTCATTGGGACCAGGGACAGCACCCCAGGAATGGCTGAAGCTGTGCCAGGGGGGTTTAGGCTGGATATCAGGGAAAGATTCTTCCCCCACAGGGTGCTGGGCACTGCCCAGGCTCCCCAAGGAATGGGCACAGGCCCAAGGCTGCCAGAGCTCCAGGAGGGTTTGGACAATGCTCTCAGGGATGCACAGGCTGAGATTGTTGGGGTGTCTGTGCAGGGCCGGGGTTGGGCTGATGATCCTGGTGCATCCATTCCAACCCTGTTTCTGCTGAGTCTGAAAAAGAAAGGGGCACAGCCATGGAAACTGAAGGATTTGCAGGCACACTCTCATCCTTCTTGTTTAGTGGAGATTCACAATATAAATACACATTTATTTTCCTAATGACCATTTACTAATTAACTGGAGAAAGTGACCCCAGATGTAGTTCCCTGCAGAAAACTGAGATCAGATCTCTGCTGCCTGTTACCCTGTGGGACCATTTCAGTTCCTGAGGAGGCTGAGGGTGGTGCTGGTGCTGGTTTGGGGTGGGGAGCCTCTCAGGCCGTGGTTCTGAGGCTGTGTCTGTTCCCCCAGCTGCTGTCGGGGCGCTACCGGGACACCCAGACCTCCATCACCGACAGCTCTGCAGTCTACAGGCTCAGCCGGGACAAGGTGAGTGCCCTGCCCCAGCCTTTTCCTGCTCCCCCTCCTAAACCTGGGAATTTCTGTGCTGATCAGGCCCCAGTTTGAGTGCAGGAGAGGATTTTTCCAGGCCATGCATACTGAGAAAGAAATACTGACATGTGCAATGTATAACTGGGTTCCACAGGCTCTTTTTTCTTTGCTTGTAAAATAGGGAAACATTTCTGACTGAAAACCACACCTCTGGGTTGGGACATCTGGGGGTTTCACTGTTCTGTTGCATTGGTTTATTTCCTCAGCAGTAATTTCTGTTTCTGCCAAGAAAACCTGAAATTCAAAACTTTATCAGATTTAAGCAGAGGTTCCAGCTGGACTTTCTATGGTCCCAGAAAGGATTTTGTTATTTTTAGGTTCTGTTATTTTTAGGTTCCCAGATCTGCTTGTTTTCAGTTTTTGGCAGTTCTTTCATTTTGGAAATCTCCTGTGCTGGATGCACACATGGCAGGGAGAGCAGAATGCTGGCAGCACCTTAACTGCTGGTGAATTGTGAAAGCAGAGGGTGGTTTTGTGGCTTCACCTTCTCAGTCATTCTTCACAACAGTGTGATAATAAGGCAAAAAACTTTGTACAATAACGTGCAGGGTTTTTGAAAATTTTTTTCCATTTTTCTGTTTCTTTAATTGAGCAGACAAGTATCTGCAAGGCAGATTGCTTTTTTGATTGTTTTTTTAACCATGGCCAAGGTTTCCAGTAAAATGCAAGAGCAGTGGGCAGGAAGGGGCTGCTGCAGCCTTATCTGGAGAGCAGTGACGTGGCCCTGCTCAGCTCTGTGTTCTCTGCCACCCCCTGCCTTTCCTGGGAAGGAAAACCTCTGCAGCCTCCAGTTAAAAAAGGCTCTTACAAAGGCATTTTTGTGTTATTCCCAGCAAGGTTTGGTGCATTTAGGGAGGCTTGGTGTGTGTGAGTAGGTGAGGCTGTTGTGTTCTGCGTCAGGGCAGGTGGGGCTGTGCCTTCTGGACCCAAATCCAGGGTCAGACTGCTTTTCCCAGTCTGTGATCACAGTCACCCCCAGATCAGGTGTTGTTAATTCCTCCTTGCCTGTGTTCCAGAGCACCAATGTGACCTTGATCGACCTTCCAGGCCATGAGAGTCTGAGGCTGCAGTTCCTGGAGAGGTTCAAGGCTGCAGCCAGGTAACCTGGAGGGGATCAGCAGGGCAGGAGGGGACAGGTGATCCTTTGGAAAGAGATAAACCAAATGATGGTGCTGGGAATGCTGTGAGCTGGCCTGGTGGTGCCCCCAGAGTCAGAGCTCTGCTGTGAGGGAGTGCTGCTGGTTAATTTTTGCTTTGCCTTCATGGATTATCTTGAGTGGGAAGGGGCCCACAAGGATCGTGGAGTCCTGACCCTGCAGAGGACAATCCCAAAATTGCACCATGAATTTCTGACTTACCTGTGCTTGTAGTGCACCAGGAGGCAAAGCCACTGCAGCAGGGAGGTCTGGGGGGTGTGGGATATCCTGGGGCAGGGGGATATCGGGGGAACAGGAGAATAATTCCAGCTGGAGCTGGCCATGGGATGTATTTCATCCAGCACACGCTGCCAGCTTGCGCTTGGGCTAGCTGAGACCAAATGTGGAGATCTCAGCCCAGGCTGGAATACCTGCAGGGGGTGGTGACTGCAGGGCTCCATCCCCATCCCCTGTCCTTGCCTGTTGCCCCAGAGCCATCGTGTTTGTGGTGGACAGCGTGGCCTTCCAGCGGGAGGTGAAGGACGTGGCGGAGTTCCTGTACCAGGTGCTGGTGGACAGCACCGTGCTCAGGAACGCGCCCGCGCTGCTCATCGCCTGCAACAAGCAAGGTACCCTGGGCTGGGCCTGCAGGGCTCCCTGCTGCACCTGGGAGCTGGGATTGCAGCAAAAGGAAGGGTGGAATTTAGGTTTAAACTCTGACTACTCAGCAGGAGTGTTAAACTCTCACTTGGGAGAGCTGCAGCCCTTTGGGTGGGTGTAGGTGATGCAGGTGGATTTTGTGTGGCTTTTTCTGCTGGCTTTGTGCAGAGCTGTTCCTCAGTCTCCATCCAGCAGCAAGTAGGATCAGCTCAAGCACAATGAACTGTCCCTACACACTCAGCAGCTTCAAAGTTACCATGTTCAGCTGCCAGAGTTCCATGTTTTCTCTGGAGTAGCCTGAATTCCCAGCTACTGGAAAAGACTCGATTTTCAGATTCCTACAAATTCTGCAGTGAAAATGTGGGTCCCTGTGTAATAGTGGGCTGTTTTGGGGCAGTATCAGATCTGGGTTTTGTAATTATTCCCTCCCTAACTCAGGAGCTGCCTGAGGCCTTCATGGCTCTGTGTGCCACGAGTGGAAAGCACAGGACAGGAGGGAGTGCTGGTGAATCAAACCCATCCTCTGAAGTATCTTCCTGCCCAGCAAGGAGAAGTTAATTCCCTCATTGTATCCTAAAGCTCCAGCATCCCTCATCCCACTGCAGGCACAGCTGTCCTTGTCCTGGTAGCTCCAGTGAGTGCACAGTGTGAACTGGCCTTACTTTAGGGGAAGGAACAAGGTTCTGAATTCTGACAACCAAAGAGCCGATTTCCTTATTTTCTCTCCAGATGTCACAATGGCAAAATCAGCAAAACTCATCCAGCAACAGCTGGAGAAAGAGCTGTAAGTATGGAATGGGATCTCAGTCCCTCTTGTCCTTTTTCTCTTACCTCAGTGAGCTCCCTTGAGTTCCCTGTGGAACTGGGAACAGCCTGTTTGGTCTGGGGCTTGGCAGTGCTGGGTTTGCATTGGACTCCATGGTCTCAGAGGGCTTTTCCAAGCTGAATGATTCTGTGGACCCCTTTGGCCAGCAGACGGCAGCAGGGCTGTTTGTGCTGTGCCTCCTCCAGGCTGAACACACAACCTCCTGCCTTTTAGCACAGGAGTTAGTTGCCACACATTCACATTCTGCAGGAGAATAAGCAATAAATTGCTTGTTCTCATGTTGAGCATTTGCCGACTACCTGTGTGTAGGTGTTGGATTTCTAGGGAGTTGTTGTGCCCTGTTAGGCACTGTTATTCCAGTTCTAATTGGGATAAGGATGTCATCATCATCATCATCTGATTTCTGCTGTCCTTTATTACAAAACCAAACCTGAGTGCCCTCCTACTCCCTTGAGCCTCACAGGGTCTGGGCCTTGTGTCCCTGGTGTAGCTGGCATGCTGCTGTCACCCCAAACATCCCAGAGCCGTGCTGCAGGTGATTCTCCCCTGGTCCCCAGTTCCTGACCCTTTTCTTTCTCTCCCTGCAGCAATACCCTGCGGGTGACACGCTCTGCAGCCCCCACCAGCCTGGATGGCTCAGCCACAGGGGGCCCTGCCCAGCTGGGGAAGAAGGGCAAGGACTTTGACTTCTCCCAGCTGCCCATGAAGGTGGAGTTTGTGGAGTGCAGTGCTCGAGGCAGCAAGGGGGAGGAGGGAGAGGCTGACTTGGAGGCCCTCCAGAAGTGGCTGGTGAAAGTGGCCTGAACACAGATGGGCAGGGCTGGAGGGCTGAAGGGGAAAAGATGGTCTGGAGCACTCAAATCTCCAGACCATCTTTTGATGTAAAAAGAAGGAACTTCAGCTGGAAGTCAGCACTGTGGTGTCTTCTTCTGCTGCTCATGGGCTTGGGAGAGACCTGACAATTGCTGGTGTGATTCCCTCTGGCTGTCCCTTCATGCTGCAATGTTTTTATCCTCTCCCCTCTTCCCTTGCCCTCCTCTGGGCTGCTGAACCTCTGGGTTTTTTTTTTTTTTTTTCTTAATCTTTAAGCTTTTTTTTGGTAGTTGCCAAGCAAATCAGGAAGGAGTGCAGTGGCAGGTGAGTTTTAGAGGCTGGAGTGAGCCTTTTGTTTCCTGCCATGCTTTAGGCCCCTGTTGCCCCTCAGAGCCCTGACCACCTTATGGCTGGGGCTGCTGTGGAGCACTGCACAAGCTCCCTAAGTTGGGCAGGCATTGAGAGAGTAGAAAAAGCTGTTTTCCTCTTTTTGTCTGCCTTCCCATTGTTCCAAACTGGTGCAGCCCCATTTCTGTGGGGCAGGAGGGAGTTTGAAATGTCCAAACCAGCCCTGCTTTACTCCCTGGGCCCAGCTCTGTGCCCATGTCTGCTGATTTCCTCTCTTGATCAGCTCCTGGGAGTTTTTCTTTAGTTGAGGGCTGTTCTGAAAGCTTCACTCTGCTTCTCCCACAGCCAGGAGCAAAGAGTGGCAGAGCTACAGGGGGTCATGGCATGAAACTGTGAGATGGGCACACTTTCAGACCTGTACCTGCAGCTGGGACCTGCCAGGCATTTGCTGTGCGGTCTCCTGCTGCAGGAAGGGCTTGCTTTGTGTGTAATTAATTAGTCAGCACTTACAGCACAGTGAGAGGGAAAGCCAGGGAGCTGCCAGCACGTGGGTGTGCTTCCTCCTTGTGGCAGAGATGCTCAAGGAAGAGGGCAAAGAAATGGGAGATTTTCCCAGCTTGTGTCTCACTGCACATTGCAGAGTCCTAGTGCGGTGACATTTTCTCTTTGTGGCTTCCCCTGTTGTTTTAGGGGAAGGGGCTGGCTCCTGGCACACCCTTTTGTAGTTTGTAGCCCTCTCTCCCCTGTGATTTGAGTCCTCCTTCATCCCTCAAATCATCTGTTATGTTCTTTTCCTTCTCTGGGGCTTTCCCTGCCTCCCTGCAGCATTGCCAGGTGTTGGGAAGAGCAGGAACAGCCTTGAGCAAAGGCCTGTGCCTGTAATGAAGCTGGTCCTTGCATTTCCAGCCTCGGGAGCCATCCATGCAGGGGAGGGTTATATTTACCAAACATGTTACATTCTTCTGTTTCCTGCAGGCAGAGTCCTGTTGGAACGTGTTTGTCATGCTTTGAACTCCTTTAGCTGGAGGTCTTGGGCTGTCTGCTTCAAATCCATAATGCTGAAATGATTTTGGGCAAAAAATTGCTGTTTCCTTATGTGATTGTTCTTGCAGAGATGCAGAAGCCAAGCACCAGCCTCAGCTTAAGGGGGGAGGTACCATGAGGCCATATGGTGGGTTTTAAGTTATTATTTTTAAATATATTCCTTAAGTAAATTCTTTTATGCTTAAATGTTTGTTCTCAAGTCTTGCTTTAGTCTCTGTGTTTGCCTTGGCTCTTCCCAGAGGTGTCAGATCCACATGGGTGGATGGGGCTCTGCTCCTGCTCAGCACAGTGCTGGGCATCAACCTTCCTGCTCTGTGGCCAGCTCTGTGTTGTCAAAAAACTTTATTTTCTGCACACAGAGGGCTTTGGGGTTGGGTTTTCGGTTTTCTTTTGGTTTTGTATTTACTTCTTGGTCTGACTAATTGAGAAGTTGATAATCACATAGCAAAAAACGCCCACAAATCATAATTAAATGGCACTTTGGTGGTGTGCACAGGAAAGCTCCAGCCAGCTGTGGTGGCAGAGCAGCACTGCTGTGCCCTGGAGGTGGCTGTGCTGGATGGAGATGCCTCAGCTTTCCTGGGCTGGGGAGCGGCTGCACGGCCATGGCTGAGCCGGGGCTGTGCCCAGAGCACAACTCCAGGAGTTTTTTGGGCCTCACTCTAGGATTTTTTAAATATTTAAATACTCAAGCTGGTTTTCCCCAGTGGCTGAGGGAAGAGAGCAGAACTGGAAAGTCTGAGTGTTGTTTTCTTGTTTTTCTTGATTCCCCAGTCAGCTCTGTGCTTTGTTCTTTGCTCTCTTGACCTTGTTCCCAGCCCGTGGCTCTGCTGGCTGGGAGTGCTGCTCCTGAGGCTGCAGCTCAGCAGGGCTGTGTTGGGATGGCTTTGGCAGGACAGTGGGATGTGATGAACTCAGCCCCTTCTTGCTGCAGCTGCCTGACCCTGAGTCAGGAACCTGCTGTGTTCACACATCCCCAGGCACCGAGGCCCTCACTGTGCTACAGCTCTTTGGGTCAATGTTTTTTGCTATGGATTGTACTCTGAATTGTTCCCCTGGACAAGATAGATGTTTTTGGAGGAGAATGGTGAGCACAGTGATAATTGGGATAGCAGAAAACCTGAAAGAGGAGGAGAGATTGCTGAAAAGCAAAAATAACAATGCCTAGACATCAGCAACCCAAGGGGTGGTTTCTAAGGCTGCCCAGCACAGGTGCTCCAGCTGTGACCTTCTCTGTGCACAGAGCCACCACCCTGGCACCTTTAGGGTGCCAACAGAAGCTCCTGGCCCCATTTGGGCCACCTTGTGCCCTTTGTGACCAGCCCCTCCTGGGGCTTGTCCTGCTGGGTGTGAAAGAAGGGGAGAAAGTTACGGAAGGTCAGGTGGGTGTTCAGGGTAAAGCTGCCAGGTAGAGGTGGAAAAGGAACAGGGTTAACATGGAGAGAGCTCTTTTTTGTGAGGACTTTGGTGATCCAGAGCAAATCCAGGGCAGGTCTGCTCTTGTCCTTCCTTTTCCCTCGACTTCCTTCATAAACATGAATGCAGCAGGGCCACAACCACAGGGACAGCAGGTAAGGACAGCAGGGCCTGAGTTCATTAAACCCGTAAAACCCCTGAAAAAACACCCCAAACCCACTGTTCCCTATCCAGAACCCACTGCACTGAAAAAATTTCAGGATTTTGAAGTAGCTCAGTGCTTGACCTAAGTAGCTGGACTTGTTAGGCCATGGGTTGAACTTGATGTGAAGCCTAAGGCTGTGCTGTGTCAGGCAGAGATGGATCAGAAGGAAGCCAGGAGCTGACAATCTGATCAATAATGATAGTAAAGATCATTAATTATAGTTAGGATAGGCAAAAGTGCAGTTAAAATATTACCTTAAAATGGTGGAGTAGTTGTGGTCTGTCTACTGGAACATGGTATGGGGTTCCATCACAGTGTGGACTAACAGAACCAACCCAAACCCACCTGAGGGGTGTGAAACAACCCAAACATCAACACATTGAAGGGTGAGAAGAACCCCAGGCTCTTGGTGTGAGGGACAGGGAATGAAACTTTTCAATTGCCAGGCATTTCTTTGTTCATGGTCCCTCCTCTGAGCCACCAGCTTGGGCAGCTGAACACCAGGACTGATCTGTGCAAACAAACCCATGGGGGATGAGAAGGTCAGGTAAAACCTTCTGCTGTGCCTATCAGGGAGATGTGGGCAGGGCTCCTCAGCTGCCCCGAGCTCTGTGTAACCCCTACCAGCCCTCCTCCCCCTCTGCCACCATTTTTTCCCCTTTCCCAGCTGGAATGTGCTCAGCATGGCCAGGCTGTGACCTACAGCATCCCCAGGGCTTGCCTTGCCGCTGCGGGGGGAGACCAAGAGCTCACCACGGTTGGAAAAGTGACCTTTATTTAAAAAATAAAAAGAGCAACAAACCCCAGATGTTCTGCAATAAACCCCTCGTGCTGTCTTGTCCCAACACGTGTGCTGTGTCCCTGCTGACCTCTGTGGGGACACCAGGCTGGCAGCCACCTCCCCTGCTCCTGTCGCGGCCGGGAATGTCGCACCGGAGCGGGACCATCGCCCGCAGCAGGCACTAATCCGGGTCCGGCTGTTCCAGCCCCCTCTGCCTCCTGCTCCGGGGGGCCGGGGCTGTCCCTGCCCGGGGTGACAGGCTGGGGACCCCGGGAGATGCCGTGCTGGCCCGGAGCATCCCTGGGCTGCGGGAGGAGTCGCTCCCGTGGCGAGTAAAAGGAACCCAAACAAGATAAAGTAGTGGCAGTGGGTGATGGGGTGCGAGTCAGTCCTCGGCGGCTACACCAGCCCCGCCGCCTTCTCCTGCACGTTGTACTCCTTGCTCCTCTTCACCTTCCAGCTGATGAGCGCCAGCAGCACGGTGCCCACCACCTTGTAGCCCACCTGCAGCCCCAGGTATCTGCCGGGAGAAGAGCGGGGACATGGCACATCCGCAGCTGGCACTTCCAGCCGGGCCCAGGGAGGGGAGGGCACACACAGGGTACCTGTTTCGGAGGAAATCGTTGTTGTAGTAGGCGCAGAAGCGGCCCGGGGCGCACTGCTGCTGCTGCCAGTAGATGCAGGAGGAGTCGATGAGGGCTCCGAACATGGCCGGGGCCGGCAGCCAGGCTGGCGGGGAGAGAGGATGGAGTCAGTGCTGATCCCGAGGAGGCTCAGTGCCTCCTGCAGCTCCCCAGCCTCATTCGGGGATTAGCACTCACCCAGCAGTCTCATCAGCAAGAACTGGACTCCGATGGCGAACGACTTCTCATCCTGGTTCACCACCCTGCAGGGGAGAAGCCACGGGAGGTCTGTTGTAGTGTGTTTTTATACTTTGTAATACTTTGTAATGGTTTTGGTTTTGTATCCCCATATTTTTCCCGAATGGCTTACCCCAGATTGTACCCCCTCCCTTTACCTGTGTAATCCCTTTCCTTTGCTGAGATCATCCCCAAATCCTCACCCTGGCTCTCTGACAATCACTCAGCATCCCATCCCCTCCATCTAGAAGCTTCGGTCCAGGATGTCGAGTGATCAGCCAGAGGCCAGGGGTCAGCCCCCCAAGCCTTGCCCCATACACTGTCCTAAATTTCCATCCCCCAGTACCCATCCCTCAGGGTCACTTATTGGTTAGTAAATGTTC